TATATATATAAAAATATATATTCGTATATATAAATTTATATTCACCCTTAGTAAAATATATATATATAAAAATTAAACTTTGGCCAAAGCTTTCAACAATTAAACTGATTTCTACAAATATCTCCCCTCAAACACATACATCCACTATTCTTGGGAATTATCATTCTCTGCAGTTGTCCAATCCTGTTTTGCATTTTACTGAACTCTCAGATACATTGGTATTATTGAGCCTAATTATTCACTGTGAAATGCCAGTCTTGTTTATAGATCCACATTCTCATTTTTCATTCAAAGTACCTGGTCATTTGCTCTAGAAGGACTGGGAAGTAGTCTTGGTCTACATGCTCTTTGTAAAATTCCCGTATTTGTTCCTCAGTTAGGGTTATTTCTTTCTGCATTGCTATTTTGAAGCCATCATCGTTTATTCTTTGCAGGATTGACTCTGTTTAGTATATTGAAATGATGTAAAATTGCCATCCATTCATTAATTTGCACAGTCTCTGTGTATAGGTTATTTCAAGTACAGAGATTCTCAAGTTAGAAATAAACACACTACCTAGAATCTAGGCAGAAATATGAATACATGCCTGAGAAGAAAGTAAACTTGGTTGGATGGAGTTTTGTGCTAATTAAGTAGGTTTTCTGATTTAATATCATCTGTATAGAACTGCCCTTGTGCAGCACTGCCTTATGCAGCACAGAACACCCTGGTCCAGCTCTTTTTCAACTTGCCATTGATCTACTTTGGACCTGGCATTCAGGAATAGTATCAGCTACTTTATTATGGTGGGAATTATGATCCCCTGTACTATACTTTGCAAATGCTAGCTTCTCTGAGGGGTCTTCTAGAAACACTCCATTCACATCTACAGTCTAAAGACGTCCTTGAAAAGTCAACATAGGGAACAAAACAGCGTTGACGTGTACATTCTCAATACAGCAAAAACATGAACCATGCCACTTTGTTCCTGACAAAGATCACTGTCATCTTAATGCTGAGGAGACAATATAACCTAAGAACATTTCATTAACAGAGTTAAGATTTTTCAAATACAAAATGTGAGGGCTTTTATATACCCTGGATAGAGGATGTAGCTGTTAACTCTTACCTCGTCTTTCCTTTAAGAGACATGGTCTAATCAAGGCCAAAGTTTTTTCCATTTTTTGCTCTGTCTTGTCAGTAACAAAATTTGGGAAAAAGAAGGCAAGTTGTCTGCTGGCGCTTTCTATGCTGTCTTCTATATCACATACATTTAATATATTCCCAGTTCTCATAGTTTCTTCCCTGCCAGTGACACACAAAGTAATACAGTATTTAAGTCACTGCATACATTGTGTTAACAGTTGACTTCGTGAAGATGTACTTTCTTAAAGTTTAGTGAGACAGAAGAATAGAGTGCCAAACTAAGTTTCATTATAATCAGATTCATGACTGAAGTAATGTTTCTGAGAAGAGAATTATTAATCTTTTCAAAATTGCCTTTGCTATGCGAGAGAGATGTCAGCCATGCAGGTCTGCTAATTCCTGTCTCGATTACTCAAAATAGTCTCTCTGTTTCACTAGACAGAATTACAACTGACAAGTGTACAGTGGTAGTGAATGATCAGGAAAAGGGTTGTTCTCAATTCATATGCAACATGATCATAGAAATGATAGCACTACGGATTTGTCTTTAACAGAGACACTTCTTATTGTTACTTGCCTGCATCTCTCAGTTTTATTTAGCCATGTAAATACAGTCACTGTTCGCCACCCACAGAAAATGCAGTATTGCCCAGCTGTGGGAGACTGTGCAGAAAGGGATACAGCAGGCACCAACAAACATAGCAGTTATTGTGACAACTTCTTCTTCTGAACATAGTATTTAGGTCCATGTTGCTTTAAGTAAATGTCTTGTCTAAATATAAAGCTTAATCCGCCATTTGGATTTTGGAGCACTCCATTGTCTGATGCCATGTGTACTAATATCCTCTTTAAATTTCCCAACACATACTTGGCATGGGAGAGAAACGGACATTTGAAGATACCATACTTGTGAACAGCTAATCCTTACAATGGTTTTATGCATGTTGAAGGTGGGGGAACACAACCCAAAACCCTCTCCCCTTGTTTGCCAGCTTTTACAGAGTGGTCCCAAGGAGCACAGCATGCTTCAGGTGTCCCCTACTCTCCCTTGAGCATCGGTAAGGATGTGTATTGCTTTATGGTGTGCTCTGGATACTGTAACTGAATCACATCTACACGTTTCCACTGGTAGTTACCTGTCTGTCTTCTCAGCCTCATCAGCACTCTTACTCGACTCATCTAGGTCTTTCCAGTTAGGAATATCACCAGTTGCTTTTTTTTTAGTGACTATCAAAATGTGGCATGGTCCACTCAGCATGAATTGAAGAAAATCTTCAAAATCAGGCTAAAAAACAGATTTTTTCCTCTATGAATTGCAGAAACTTGGAGTTTATCATCAGAAATGAACAACCATCCTTTCAAAAGTAGCTCCCAATTCCTGTTCTAAAATGGCACTCACATGCATTACTCAAACCCCTGTTTAATTGAGGAGGTTTTTGATCAGTCATTTGAGCCAACATTATAAAACACCTAAAGCAAACTTAATTGAGATAAAGGAAGTCATAGCACTACATTAAGCAAGTAGCACATGTTCTACCAGGTTCATATGCAGATGATAAGAACAAAGAAAATGATTTAGAAACTCAATGTGATCTGATGCTCTGCTTGCAGCAGCTCATGCAGTGTGCCATAACAAACTGCAATGCAGTTCCATGCGTAAGTTTTGAAACTAAAACCCACATAGCTGGCTGCAAATAGAGAACATTGAGATATTTGCAGAGCCTTTTGTAGGTTTTTCCTTCCTTCTCTTTGCTACTTTCTTTTGATTCCTTCAGTTTCAACCTTCAATCCTATAAATGTACATTTTCATCAGAAAATGATTTTTGTAGCTGTTGTGAGTTTTTAATCTGTTTTTCCTTGTATGTCACCTTATTCTTCAATATTTAAAACTTCCTCAAACATCTTCTCTCCTTTTAAATATTTGAATAGATCTTTTCTTTACTAGTCAGCCTCACCTGATTGTTTGTGATGCATTTTTCCTTTAATAATGAGGATTAAATACTCACATATATGCTTCCGATTTATTGCTCTTCTCCTTCAATTATCTTTGTATCTATGCACACGCTTAACCCATTTCACCAGATGAACAAACTCATAACAGGTACAACATATGCAAGTATAAAACCATTTAGTAAACTGCATAAAGGGAGTATCTATACTTTTGTGGCTTCAAAAGTACACTTGCTTATATTAGAAGAAATAGATGTGGCTGTTAGATTTAGCTAACACCCAGCTGGATCACCCAGCTTTATCACTAAAAAGAAACAATTTCTGCTTCCAATTACATCTGAAGGTCTTTTGCCTTGAGTCTCCATTCTGCTACAACAGGCAGCCTCTGGACCTTCAGCAAGCTTAAAGGGTATCAAATCAGGAATGATTTTGCCCACTGAGCACAAAGGAATCTGCGTTGTTTAGAATCACAGAATTGTTTGGGTTGGAAAGGACCTTAAGATCATCCAGCTCCAACCCCCTGCCATGGGCAGGGACACCTCACACTAGACCATGTCACCCAAGGCTCTGTCCAACGTGGCCTTGAGCACTGCCAGGGATGGAGCATTTATCACTTCTTTGGGCAACCTGTTCATATTGCCACTTTAACACAATATTCAGCTTAAAATGACACTTAAATAATGGCAAATAATTGGCTTGTCAATATTCATAGGGAGCTGTGGACTGCTTCTGGTAGTTAATAGTAGTTTTATTCTCCCTGTCCATTGTGCCTGTCCTAATGTTGGCTAGGATCTGCTGTGGTGTAGCAGTGCTGCCATATACTGAACGCTGCATGCTTTTTCCCTGACTTAGTTCCTCCCACATCTCCCTCTACACCTAACTAATGTCAGATTTGGCTGCTGTTCCCAAGAAGATGACATTTTTACCTCTATTTCAAAACTGTGTCTGTCTAAACTAGAATCCTAGCTTTACAAAGCCAAAGCTCTTCACGATTCCTTACAAGCTCTCCCTGTTACTTCCCTTCTAAACCATAGTGCAGGTATGTGGTGATTATGATCAGATTTCTTTTTTCCCTCCAGCTTCAGTAGGAACTATCTTGTCTCACTGTCCTAATATATGATAGGGCCAGAAAAATAAACTTCCCTGGACATGCTTTCTCTTTCTTGCTTATTCCCAGTACTACCCTGTGATAAAAACTGTAAAGAAGAAAAAATGTCAAATGTACTATTTTATGGCTGGAAAAGGATGTGTCAAAGAGATACCCACTGTCATAAAGACGACACTGGATTTTGGGTTTGTGCTACGTTTCATAACCTAACAGCCTATGTTTAGGGCCATGGCTAAGGGTCAGACACATTCTGATAACAGAAAGAACTGGAAAATCTTCTGGTATTTAATTAGAGTTCAGTTTAATTGAGTTGGAACGTTAGAATGCTATCAAGCCATATCTGTGTGAGTCAGTAAGAGAGAAAAGAGAGAGAATATCTCCTTTTTTTTCTATGTACTAAATCTACATTAATTCAGTTCTGCAACATACTAAAACTTTATAATAGCTAAAATGATATGTTTTATCTGTTCCTTTTGTTTAGGTTTTTAGTTTGTTTTTACCTGGTTTGCTTTATGGGTGTAGAACGCTCTGATTTGCTCTTCAGTTAGCATTTTCTCCTCTTCTGCTTCAATGCTAAATCCTGCTTTTGTAATCTGCAATTATTCAGTTATCATTCAGTGGCATTTGAAAATGAATATATCCAAAATCCTATGTTACTGCAGCACCGAAGATTGATTGATTTTGGAAGCTATCTTAAGTTTAAAATTCTTTGACATGTTCCAAATAATTGCTACCTTTGCCTAAGCTGAAGTTCCAGCTTTTCAAAGCACTTCACTAATTTCAGGATTACAGTGCCCCCTAAGTTAATGACTGTGAACCATATAGTGCAGCTCAATTTATGTATTCATTCAGTAGTTAATAATCCCTTTGATTTAACATTAAATAAACTCATTTTAACTGTTGTGATCAACATGCCACCACTTCTAAAAATGTTATTATAACCTGTATAATAATCATAGTAGTCATATAAATGTGTACGTGTCAACAACTGTCTTAGGCTAAAGTACCTGGTTGCAGAAAAAGCAGATAAATAAAAATATAATCTATTTGATGGTTATCTGTTTAAAGCTACATTACTGCACCAAATTCAAGTATGTGTAAGAGATGCACACCTACGTGTCCTACATGAAAATTCATAGTCCACTTGTGTGAGGTTTACCATACATTGATATCTAAACAATAAAGGCGCTACCCAACTCCAATACTGATCACATGCCAATATTAACCTGCTCACCAGCATGCTGCTCTTTAAAAGCCCTTGATGCTGCTGAGTGTGGAAAAATTGTAAGTACACACCTCATAAGGCAGAGCAAAGGAAGAGCCAACTAGCGGCTGCTCAGCTCCAGCTAAATTGCTTTCAAGCACTGCCTGCTTTTCTTTTTGCCTTTTACTGAGCTTCATTCATCCTGGTCAAGGTAGAGTAACTGCAGAGACAACCTATACAACTCTGATCATCTTTCCTGCAAAAGTCACTGGCCCTATTGTAACACTTTTTAAAATTGGTGTAATTTTGTCTAAGGAGGCATTTTTTGGTAACAGAAAGAGTGAGAAATTCCTGTAACTGAAATGAGAATTACTATAGCATTATGTTGTGGAAGGCAAAACATTTTTTCTTTCACTGTGTGATGGCTTAAACGAATACTGAACCCTTGGATGCGCCCTTGTATACTTGCTGGAATCACATTCTTCACTGCAGGAGCAAATACTGCACTACTGACAGATATTAGTGTATAATTACTAGCGCCCATGAACTAGCCTCACCTTCTGTGTGCATATATATCTTGTTATACGTGTCTGCACACAAACTCTTTTCCATGAAAACTGGTTAGCTGTCTTATGTGTGCCTACAGGTCTTTAAAACACTGTGTGAAGAATTAACTTCACCACCACAACCTCTAGTTCTCATTTCTGTTGCAACACAAGGGGAAAAAAGACACTTTTCTGTGTGTAGATTTCAGGTGTTGATGATTAGCACAATACGTATCATTGTCATACCTCACCTACTGACATAAAATATTAAAGCAATAGTATCAGTCTGAACATCATATTATTTCAGGTCAAAATTATCATGCTTACATCATCCTTATCAGAGAAGCATTAACAGATCTTGTTCTAAAGCCTAGGCATAAATTAGGATCCACTTCATCTTACATCTTGCTACTTTGCCTCTTAAGTAAGTAGCATGAATGAATCTTTTCAAATTATCTTTACCTGGCTTTTAATTTCTTCCACACGTCCCTCTGAGACATCATCAGGTTTTATAATGCCAACAGAATATTTGACTGCTTCTTCTGGAAAAGGGAAAGAATCATGTGTCAGTGAATACATTTATCAAAATAAATACAGAACTACATTTACCATTACTCGCAAGTGGGTTTCTTTAAATAGTTTCCCATTTTAATGTTGAGATGGCCAACCAGTGGTTCAAAAAATAAGTGACTCCAGTGCTTAAAGCAAGTTTTGGAGAGCAGGACTGTCCTTGGCCATCCCTGGAATCCACATTCCTGATAAAGCACTGTTTTTTGGGTAATATGGTGGAGAAATAGTTCACATGTGGCTAGGTGTGGTGGAAAACTGCAGTTTAAGGTGGATGCTTTGTCTAGGGAGCTCTGTATGTACAGGACTAGAAATGTGAAAGGAACTAGTATTACTAAGGAACGTTCACTAAGTGAAAATCTGTTTGAATATTGGAGATTTCCAGTAAAATACACATTTCTTGTCACAGTAGATGTTTCTTTCTTCTTAGCATTGTGGATGTCGAAGTAATTTGCAATAAATAGCTGTTGAAGTAACACATGCTTGCTAACACCATCTAATGTTTAAAACAAGAGGTGTAGATACGGTGTTACAACATCCATAGCATACAGATCCCTGTCAAATGACAGAAACTGGTCAGAAAATAATACAAACAATACTGCCTTTGCAGGATCAGAGGTTTACAGTTAAGCATTAGAATGTAATTCAATCAGATCCCAAACACTGTAGGACAACTTAATGGTAGTTCTAAAAGAAACACCAGACTACTACTCATTTCCAATAGTAGAAAACACTCACAGGCACCCATATGTGGTAAGTAGAATATTACCACGAAATAATAGTGTGTTATGGCTTCTGAGGGATCCCTTACCCTGAAGCTGAACCCAAGCTGAAATGTCTGTTCCCTGATTTTGTCGCACATTTAGGTGCTGTGGATTAGTGTGAAGTCTGAATATAATTGCTGTATGGCTTGTAATACCGTACTACTAAGTCTTAGAAGGCTTATAAGGAAAAAATACAGGCTAAAGGTGAGGTCAGGAATATGTCACTTGAACCAAACAATAAAGGCGTGAAGAGGAAGAAGGGACACAGCTTAAACCATGGCTGTGACCTAATGCCTTCTCACAGGGAAAAAAAGGCAAGATCAAAAAGGAGAAGATGTTGGAGGAGTTTATTCCATCTCAGTGTTGATGAGTGGCATTCTGTGTGTATGAAGCAGTAGGAACATTCAGCAGCCACAGAAAACAATACGAATAGAAAAGATGTAGGTCCCAGCCCGTGAAAAGCCTGAGACAAAATGTAGACATGAGACTCACAGACAGGATGGTGCTTATTTGCAAACTTTTCAGAATCTTATCCTACTGAAAACACTGATGATGACAGTCCAATATCTTAATTCCTTACAGGACAAAGCTTCCCGTCAGTTTGATATTCTCAACCACAACCTCAACCTCTCATAATACTAACTCAATGAAAAGAAGGCCTATTAGTGCTTGACATATCCAATTCTTAATCAAGTAACTAAAGAGATATTTGTTCTTTTTATTTCTGTTAATATTTCTAAAAGAAATCAAATAAATAGATGTACCCTGAGGTACGGTCTCCTCAACAGGCTCTTCTGGTGGTTTCTCTTGCAGATCAATTTCTTCTACCTAAGGTAATTGCCAACAGAGTAAAAGTACATCACCAGTGTGAAGCTGAAGTCACCATGCACAGCTGTTACATCTTTATAACAATTCTATCTTAATGTTAGAACATATTTGCTACCCTGGAAAGAGAGAAAGTCTAAGAAAGATCTTCAGGCAACCTGATTATCCTTAACTGAGCTACGGTTTGTTAAACTTCTCCTTTACTGTAAGTAGAGTTCTTTAATCTCCATTTATACTTGAAAATAAGCAATGAGACATAACTGCTTCCCCATCTTTGCTTCACCTGATGCACTAAGTTAAATAAGAAAAAAAGTCCTGAAAGAATAAAAGATAACTGAAAACCTTTACGTGCCAATGCCATGTTATCCATCCCTTCATTTCTTATATTAATAGGCTAATCTGTACATTTCTTAAGGTTTTATAAAGTGCTATTTAATGGAAATTTCTAAAAAATCCCAAACCAAACCACACCCCCCTCACATCTATCACTTTACTGTTAAGAAATAATTAACCATTCCATCTATCATAGGTATTAAGAGACAACACATAAGTGTGATAAAACTTCATTTATTTAAGTATCTGTTTTGTGAATACCATGGTGCGGTCCTTCTGTCCAGATGCAATTGCCCTCTCTTCTAGCACCAGCTCTGTTGTTTTCTTACTTAGAAGAGGAGCATTTACACCTTTCACCATTGAAATAATTTTGCCATTCTGTAAAAGAGAAAGTAACATTCTCAGTGAGTTCTCATTACTTTGATTACACATTACTTGAGTTTTGAAACATGCTGTATCTTGCTATTTTTTCCAGCAACAGGACCACTTCCTATGCCCACTGAAGTGAATACTAAAGCTACTACTGCCTCCATTAGTTCAGAATAAAACTTTCTTGCTTCTACTTCCTCCCTTCCTTCTCTACCTAATTTTTCATGTTTATTTCTAGGCTCACCATTTATAATACAGTCAGATGCAAATACAAAATATGGGATTTACTAGCTCTTAATTTCCATAACATGGAGTTTTCTATCTTTTTATTTGCATTATGTGTCAGTGCGTGCTCTACCACATTCAGGAGCGCCATACTGAAGCTAACTACTGGTGATCAAAGATGCTGCTAAATTTGTTTGGCAGCATTCAGATTCAAATCTGGAAGTGTCCTGAGAGTATCACTGTTCTCAGATCCTAGATTCAAATCCTAGCACCCTCAAGTCAAAAAACCATCGCCTCCTAAAGGAGCAGCGTTTCACAGTGGAGTCCTAAGAGAACAGGCTTTTTATATCCATTGGTGAGAGATAAGAAATACATGATTGTTACAATTGCCCAGGTGTGAAAAAAGCAGTTTTAGTTGTTTATCTTAAATCTCTTAAAGTGTCAGGAAAAGTAAACTCTTTTTCCTGAGTGAAAGTGTGTATAAATAATCATTTCAGTGTAGCCACTTTATGTGAGACAACCCTGGAAAACTTACATAGATTTCTTCCTATGCAGCCACCAAAACCGTGGCTACCC